CAGGGTGCCGATGAGAAAGAGTTAGTAGACACAACTTGTTGGTGTGAACCATGACACAGGTGTGTCCAGTTTTATCTGGTGATGGTAAACTTTCTTTATCTTCCTCAAAAGTATCAGAATTCTCTTTATCTGCTGGAGGAGCCTCTTCCTTGGTGTCTTGAGGATTAATATCTTCTGTACAGTTTTTCCCATTTTCAGACTTTTCATACCCACTGGCTGAGTTTGATTTGCTCAAGTCATCTGGTATAAAATAGTAGTTGGTGAAATACCTCTCACTCACGCTTGGATAGTTGTGGTCTAAGACCACAGACTCTTCTATAGGTACATCTCCAAACACCATGGTGGGAAGTCTTAGGTTGTCTTAAAAGTTGCTATAAAAATAATATCTAATAAAATTTATCAGCCTGTTGTGATTGTGGCATCTATCAGTTTTCTTTGTTCCATGTGTGTCCTTCCTGGATTTTGTCAAGAACCTTTTTCCTGTGCTCTTCACCTGCAAGTCTGTTTCTTGTCCTTCTTTCAATACGCTGTAAATAGATCACTTAGGATTGGTTTTGTGTTGTGCATTACGAAAGTATAGCAATATATCATAGTGACCATTATAATGTACCATTATCTTTAATCATAACATAAGCAACTGAAATTAATCTCACCTCTGCTTTTAAACACTTCCATACAGCTCTATCAAAGTCATTGCATACTCCCATGAATTTCATGAATCTGTTCTGGAAAGAAAAACATCCTGATAAATGGAGGAAGTAGAGAAGAGGAGGAGGAAGAAGAGGAGGAAGAGGAGGAAGAGGAGGAAGAGGAGGAAGAGGAGGAAGAAGAGGAAGAGGAGGAAGAGGAGGAAGAGGAGGAAGAGGAGGAAGAGGAGGAAGAGGAGGAAGAGGAGGGGGGAGGGGGAAGGGGAGAGAAAGAGGAGGGAGGGGGGAGGAGAAAGAGGAAGGAGGGAGGGGGGAGGGGGAGGAGAAAGAGGAAGGGGGAGGATGAGGACGAGGATGAGGACAAGGACAAGGAGGAGGAGGAGGAGGAGGAGGAGGAGGAGGAGGAGGAGGAGGAGGAGGAAGGAGGAGGTGGGAGGAGGTTAGTAGGAGGAGGAATAGGAGAGCAAACATTACAAAAATCCCTTTTACAATGAAAAAAAAAAAATAAAAAAAAAAAAAAAAAAAAAAAAAAGAAAAAGAAAAAAAAAAAATAAATAAAAAAAAATAAAAAAAAAAAAAAATATATATATATATATATATATATATATATATATATATATATATATATATATATATATATATATATATATATATATATAAGCATTAATCTATTGGAGTCAAAAGAACTTCGGCCAATTAAGAGTCATTTACTAGGCATACCTCATCTCACCTATTTGCCTATTCTTCTTAAAGTTTAAAAAAATAAGAGATTTTGTTCTTAATACTATTAGTATTGTTGCTAATTGATTATGACTGTGATTATCATTATGATTATCATTATGAAAATCATAATGATAATAATGATGATTATGATGGTGATGATGATGGTTATGATGATGATGATGATGATGATGATGAAGATGAAGATGAAGATGAAGATGATGAAGTGATGATGATGATGATGATGATGATGATGATGATGATGATGAAGATGAAGATGAAGATGAAGATGAAGATGAAGATGAAGATGATGATGATGATGATGATGATGATGATGATGATGATGATGATGATTATTTTGATGATGACAGTATTAGAAATAAATCCATTTTCTCCATAATTTCTTAAGGAACGGGGTAAAGAGGTGAAACAAGGTAAAACTAGCAAATAACTCCTTGGCAACTACGTGCTTATGAAATCATCTATGCACAATAAACTTTCAATGGACAGTGCATGTACTTGGTTCTACTATTTAGTATTATTGCTAATTCTTATGACTTACCTCCTTATGACAATCTTGAAGCTGAGTTATCAACTTGTTGCATTCTTCACTGTGGAGATGCGCTGAGAGATCTGGGTGCATTCTGGGCTCAGACGTCTATATTTGACCTACAATCCAATCTGTTCTGGAAGAGAAGTAAGAAATGTAAACTCTGATAATTATAAATGCATATTTCTATATAGTTGCTCCTGTATGAAAGGAAGATTTGCATTGTAAAAAAATAAGATAACAGGCCTCATTAAGTGTTATGTTATGTTCAAATGTCACTAAATTCTTTGCTTTTAAAATTCATAGTTCCTCTTGATCTTCAAGAATTTCTCTATGTAGCCATATCTTCATGGAGAATATATTTTTACCTTATTTTCAATTTTAACCCATTTGCGGCAGGGAAAATGAACAAAAAATGGAGAAAATGCCTTGCTCATTTTTTTTATTTTTTGTAAAATGTCTCTACACACATATGACTCTGCCTTACCTGATTTCACCTTTCCTTGAATTGGCGGGAAAATGTATTTTTTACAAGTGCTATGACTATCAATGGTGCTATTTTTATTATAAACATTATAATTACTATAATATTATAAACAATAGTAATAGCAAAATTAGAGAATGTAAAATATCTTTGAAAATTAAAGAAAAGGGTGAACGGGCGAGACAGGCAGTACTGCATTTTATAGGTATTTTATATCTGGTTATTTGGTAGGAGTCATAACAGATGTTTCAGTGGGTATCATATATAGATGACATCTGCATATCCTCCAACAAGTGGTTTACTACCAGTGAGTCACACTGAATTAGTTGGGGGGGTCATGAATCCTTGGGGAAAAAAAATATTGTAAGCCAATACCTTAGGCACTTCTTAGTGATCATATTAAGAATATACAATAAAGCCAACTGGGTAAATAAAGACGTCAGAATGTGTGTGTGTGTGTGTGTTTTTTAGCCTAAAATAATGAAATAAAGTAAATAACATAGAATAGCTGATATGTCAGAGGTTTGAGAGAGGAGTTACAGGAGGTAAAGGGCTGCAAACCACAGGCCAACACAACTTCCGCAGTCTAGGAGAAGGGCAATTGGTAGTTTGTAGTTCTTTTCCATAGTGCCTAAGGCATGGAAGCCACTGGTACAGGCTGGACTTAAGATAGCAGATTAGATTATAGAGCAAAGCAGGTTGTAAGTGGATTTGGATAGAACTCAGTGAATGTAATAATGAAGAAAAAGTCTTGATTTCACTGCAGCTTTTGTGCAAATTTTAGCCCTACAAACCTGTGTAATTTAACAGCTAAGTTTTGGTTGGTCAAGGGTAAGTACAACCGAAAATTGGGGACACACTAATCTCCCTGACCACTGACTACTTACCAGGCTTGGATCAGTTTAAGTTACATCTCTTCTGTCAAACTTAACCAAATATTCAATGGTTTTCACGTATCAGTGGCATCTATAGGACCTAATAACAATTACATGCAAAAATACTTGCAAATGCGATGCTATTTGCATAAAAAAATATGCCGTCAGTATTTTCTGGAAAACACTGACCATCTGACGGACCGAAAATTTTCTTTAGAAATGTTTCTTCCCCATATCGGAAAATGCAGGCCCGTTTTCGCCCAGCACAATGACTCTGAGCCTGTAGCGTTTTTATGATAAGGGGAAGAAACCTTTCTAAATACTTTATTTTCAGACTCTTGAAATGATACTAGAATAATAGCAGGGGATCGTAAGTGAGTAAACATCAAAAAAATATAAATCGGTCCTTTGAAAGTGGTCAATGACAATGACATATTTTTTTACAAAAATCACCATGTCTGCAAATATTTTTGCTTGCAAATTGTTTATTAGAACCTGTATATAATAAACCTGTAGATTCCACTACTAATAAAACCTCTCAATATTTGGTTAAGTTTGACAAAAGAGAAGGGTTTTGATGTGTCTCCCCCGAAAACTGTCCTTAAATTAATTTTGTTTCATCAGCACTTCTTACCCTTAAGGCTTTACACTGTAATGCCCCCATTCCATCAAACACACAACTCTCACCCCCATGAACACTGAAACAAACTATAAACTCTAACTACCATTTAATATATAATCTCTAATCATAAACTAATATAAACTCTAATCACTCTAATTATAAACTAACATAAACTCTAATTACTCTAATTATAAACCAATATAAAGTCAAACTATAGACTAATATAAACTCTAAACTACCAATTAATATATAAACTCTAATCATAAACTAATATAAACTCTAATCACTCTAATTATAAACTAATATAAACTCAAATTATAAACCAATATAAACTCTTAACTACCAATTAAATCTCCAACAGCGAATCGTACAGCAAAACTACTCACAACCAAGCCAGTCTTCTCACATGCAAACAACATGTTACATAAACCTCTAATTGTATGCAAAGCGGACTGTACTTATAAGCACCAAGTGTAACATACAACAAAACTATACATATAAAATTTTAAAAATTCTCAAGAGGAACAGCACAATTTACTCACATTATCCATGAGTCTTATAAAATGTTGCTTTTATCCAACGTGTGGTATATGCTCGCCCCGTCAGTGTTGCCAGACCATGTGAAGCAAGTAAATGGAAAAATAAAATAAAGGAGAATAAACGGATGACAATTTCTTTTTCGTGCGGTTAAAGGACATATAGAAATATAGAAATATATTATTCTACTGTAATTGAGGTAAATGAGTCTCTTTACACATTTTGGGTAAAACTGTCGCCAGTGTTACCAAGAAGAAGATGAAGAAGAAGAAAAGATGAAGAAGAAAAAGAAGATGAAGAAGAAGAAAAAGAAGAATGAAGAAGAAGATGAAGAAGAAGAAAAAGAAGAATGAAGAAGAAGATGAAGAAGAAGAAAAAGAAGAATGAAGAAGATGAAGAAGAAGAAGAAAAAGAAGAATGAAGAAGAAGAAAAAGAAAAATGAAGAAGATGAAGAAGAAAAGAAGAATGAAGAAGAAGATGAAGAAAAAGAAAAAGAAGAATGAAGAAGAAGAAAATGAAGAAAAAGAAAAATGAAGAAGAAAATGAAGAATGAAGATGCTACATGAAGAAGGAGAAGAAAAAGGAAAAGGGAAGTTGAAGAATGAAGAAAAAGAAGAAGGCAATGAAGAATACGAAGACAAAGAAGAAGGAGAAGAGGAAGAAGAAGGAGAAGGAAAAAGAGGGAAATGAAAAGAAGGAGAAGGAAAAAAAGAAGGTGAAGGAAAAAGAGGGAAATGAAAAGAAGGAGAAGGAAAAAAAGAAGGTGAAGGAAAAGAAGAAGGAGAAGGAAAAGAAGAAAAAGGAAAAGAGGAACGAGAATGAAAAGAAGAAGAAGATAAAGAAGGAAAAGAGGAATGAGAAGGAAAAGGAAAAGAAGAAGGAGATGGAGAAGGGAAAGAAGAATGAGAAAGAATAGAAGAAGAAGGAGAAAGAAAAGAAGAATGAGAAGGAAAAGAAGAAGAAGGAGAAGGAAAAGAAGAAGGAGAAAGAAAAGAAGAAGAAGGAGAAGGAAAAGAAGAAGGGAAAATGAAAAGAAAAGTAAGAATAGAAAAAGAAAATGAAAATGAAAAAGAAGAAAAAAAAAAAAGAGAAAGGGAAGGAAAAAGAAAGAAACACCAACATGGTTCACGTTTTCATGGTTGTATTTTATTTTATTCTTTTGTAATGGACGCAAGATGTATTGCTACTCGAATTTACGTTTATTATTATGGCAGAACACGACCATAAACCCAGTACAGCAGTCACTCGAACTTTCAGAATAATTTTTACCGATACTTTTAGCATAGCCACCTCCCCCATAGGACCAAGTGACATATAGTAAAGCGATATATAAATCTCTATATGAACATCAGAAGAAAAATGATTATGGAAACAATCAAACAAACTCTATATGAACATCAGAAGAAAAAAGAAAAGAAAAAAAAGGAAAAAAAAGAAAATGAAAATAAAAAAAAGAAATGAAAAAAGAAAAAAGAAAAAAAAATCTTGAGTATGGTGTAAGAAAAGTTAAAAGAACGTTCCTCGAAGTTTAAAAGAACGTCCCCCTCCCCCCCCTCCCGACGAGCGGCGTTCGCGGATTCACGAAGCATGTTTTGGTTGGGCTCTACAAGTGCTGCTCGGGAGGAAGAGGAAAGTTGCTGGACGAATTTTTTAAGAAGAAAAGTACATTTTGCTGATAAATAGACATTAAATGAGGTAAATTAGTTCCTCGGCTTAGCCTGTATATTCGTTTCATGTTCGTATTTGGTTCTTTTAACTCTTTTAACGGCTGAAATAGCTGGATATTGTCGATTTCTTGGGCATCTGTGGGCGAGATAGGCCTAGCGAGTTACTTTTAGAACCAGGCTGTATATAGATGAGGTTATTGCTTCCTTCACTTATTTAAGCAAGGGAACATTCTGCTTCTGTCTCTCCTCCCCTTTATTCTCCCACACACTTCTTCAAAACAAATAAAGGTAAAATTCTAAGGTTTGTTATCTTACGACCTATTAAATATGGTATCAGCGGGCTATATCTATGTCTAAAAATAAGAACAAATATAACTAATAGTCAGCTAAAGCGATGAATAAGTCCAATGCATAATATCAACTGCTTAGAATTTAGCACAGATAGGGAATAAATGGAGTTAAGGTTGATAAATGTAGAAATATTATGAATAAGAATGAATATCTTCCCTTGTTTTGTGAAGATAATTATTCTCACTCATACCTTTTCTACAGTTAGGGGAGCATAACTCATGAACCCTCTGCCAGAGTTGGGTTGTGATGTCAGAGATGTTACTTGGATCTGTGCTGGGCAGATGTGGGGGTATAGAAGCAGTAGCATAGTAGGGAGTTTTAACCCCTTGGTGCCGGGTGACGCAGATCGGTGTGAAAACAAACCGCTCGAAAGCTGGCGTGAAGCCATACGCCGTGGCGACGCGCCAAAGCGTGGCGAGCCAGTAATTTGGGCTGATGTCCCCTACTCACACGCTCAAAGTCGGCACAAAGTCGCTAGAGCGTAGAGTTTTTTTTTTGTCTTGTACACCCGGCGTCATTGGGTTAAAGGGAACGGTAAAGGCTGTGCTTTAGCAAAGGTTGACAAATCCTCATGCTCTGTGTGTCTGCTTTAATTGCTGTTAGCATGACTTATGAAATAGATGAAATATTGATTAGGTTCACTCTTTTCATCATTGGTTCTTTGTCTTCCCCATTCTTCAAGTGACAGATTTTTAACACTTTTTTTTATTCTACTTTTACAGTTACCAGATCTAAGAACTTGAAATTATAAGCCATCAGAAGAAACGAGGGTAGAAGTCACAAAGAGTACAGACATCATGGCAGGGCCTCAGCCAAGGGGCCCCAAGAAAGGCCAGGCTCCCAAAGTTTTTCCATGGCAGGTATTAAGGGATTTGAAGAAAGCTGAGAAGCTTAAATTGAGACAGGAAAAGGAAGAGCAAGCAAAAAGGGAATTAGAAAAGAAAAGATTGAAGAGGTTAAAATGTAGAGAAAAAATAAAAAATTCAGAGAAAAGGAGAGAGTCAGAGAAAGAAAGAAAAAAAATGCAAAGGAAAAAGAAAAGGGAG